ATCAGTGCGAGAGGTACGTGTGCTTGCTGGCACTCGGAGTCCTGAGAAGAGAAACATAACTGGCGGGGGAGGCTCAGTACGACTCCCTCTCTAACAGTTACGTCATGCTCTTCGTGGGTCTTCTCCTTCTACTCCTGATCCTCCTCCTCGGACGGAGGGTGGTTGCCTTTCGAAACGTGGCCCTCGCCTAAGCGCCGCGCACATTCGTGTTACGAGTTTACAACGGCTTCAAGGATTCTCATGGGTAACGTCCCCACAATGGTGTTTGGGCACGATGTAGGACTGTTAGGGCGCCACGGTTGTGTTGACTCGCAGAGTTGAAGTCCCAGAAACGGTGCTCTGACACGACTGAGTAGAAATCCCAGGAATTGCGTTCTGGCACGGTTCATGATTTTCAAGCGGTTGTCTTCCAACGGGGCATCTTTGAAGAAACCCGCCGCAAGCGCTGAACTCTTACAAAGTATGCAACGAGCTCGCCGCAAGCGCCAATGTCTTTGTTAAAACAAGGAGGGTGGGTCACAAGGTGCGTCGCGGGTGGGTCGCGGGTGTGTCGCGGGTAAGTCGCGGGTTGGTCGAGGGCCAGGTCACGGATGGGTCGCGGGTGGGTCGCAGTTGGGTCGCGGACTGGGTCGCAGTTGAGTGGCGGGTGGGTCGCGGGTGGGTCGCGGGCGGGTCGCAGGGTGGGTCGCGGGCCGGGTCTCGGGTGGGTCGCGAGTGGGTCGCGGGGAGGTCGCGGGTGTGTCGCGGGTGGGTCGCAGTTGGGTCGCGGGTGGATCGCGGACCCAGTCGCGGCTGGGTCGCAGGTGGGTCGCGGGTGGGTCGCGGGTGGGTTGCGGGTGGGTCGCGGGCGGGTCGCGGGGTGGTTCGCGGGCCGGGTCGCGGGTGGGTCGCGGCCGGGTCGCAGGGGGGTCGCGGGTGGGTCGCGGGTGGGTGGGTCGCGGGTGGGTCGCGGGCCAGGTCGTTGGGCAACAACGACAACAAACAGCAAATAACAAATAACAAAGAACAACAGCAACAACAACAACAACAACAACAACAACAACAACAACAACTTCAACGACAACAACAACACCACCACCAACAACACTAACCGAGAATACCAATGACAATGCAATAACAATAACAACAACAATTCGCACCGCATAATTTCATTTCAGCCACGCGCCCAGGGACAGTAAATCTCTGTTCGGCCCCCTCGCTCTGGCAACGAGCACGCCGCAGGCGCCGAATTTTTCGCCAGAGCAAGTGGGTGAGTCGCGGTAGATCGCGGGTGGGTCGCGGGCCGAGTCTCGAGTGAGTCGCGGGGTGAATCGCGGGGTGAGTCGCGGGGTGGGTCGCGGGTGGGTCGCGGGTGGGTCGCGGGTGGTCGCGGGCCGGGTCGCGGGAGGGACTACGGCAACGAACAACAAACAACAAACAACAAGCAACACACACAACAACAACAACAACAACAACAACAACAACAACAACAACAACAACAACAACAACAACAACAACAACAACATCAACATCAACAGCAACAACAACAGCAACAACAACACCAACAACCACAACCACAACCACAACAACAGCAATACCAACAACACGAACAACAATTACACCAACCAAGACCCACAACAATAACAACAACGACATCAACCACCACCACATCAACAGCGACGAAAGCATCAACACAATCAACACAAAAGACACCATCACCAGCAATAGCAACAATAACGACAACGACAATGACAACGACAACACCACCACCACAGACAATAACACACAACAACCACCACCACAACAACTACACCAAGAATACTCCGCACCGCAGACTCCCACTTCAGCCACGCGCCCAGGGGCAGTGAATGACCGTTCGGCCCCCTCATTCTGATAATGATATACACATGCCTATATACAAATAATATAGGGAACCAAACAAACCAAACAACACATACGAATACACATATACAACTTACACATACACACGCATAACAAATAGTTGTACAACACACTGACTACGCAGCGCACGGCCAAGTGCACGCCAAACGCAACAACTACACCCAAACACACTGCAACACAAAAAGGGCATATTCCCCGTTGAAGCAACAACAGCCACAACACCCCCTGCCCCCTAAAAAACAAATCAGCCTGGCGAAGTACCCTACCATATAAGGTTGTGGGTAACGCAAGTGTGAATATCGTATTCGGTGGAGCTCCCGATGGGGCCACGAAACGTGTGAGGGGTGTGCCAACATGGGCGCGGTGGGCGCATGCGTGCGCAGCCTCTGGGGCTTTCGGTGGAGTTTCCTCTGAGGCCACGGCACGGGCGAGGGGTACACCGAAATGGGTGGGGCGGGCGCATGCGAACACCGCCACGGAGGCCTTCTGTGGCGCTCCCTATGGGGCTACGAAGCGTGTGAAGGATGTACCGAAATCGGCGGGGCGGACGCATGCGAACAACGGCGCCGGAGTCTTGCGTGGCGCTGCCTATGGGGCCCTGAAGCGTGTGAGTGGTGAGCCGAAAATGGTGGGGCGGACGCATGCGAACACTGACCCTGGAGCCTTCGGTGGAGCTCCTATGGGGCCAAGAAGCGTGTGAGTGGTGTGCCGAAATAAGCGGGGCGGACGCATGCGAACATCGCCACGGCGGCCTTCTGGGGAGATCCCGATGAGGCCACGAAGCGTGTGAGGGGTGTGCCGAAATGGGTGCGGTGGGCGCATGCGTGCGCAGCCACTGGGGATTTCGTTAGACTCTCTATGTGGCCTCGAAACGTGTGAGGGGTGTTCGGAAACGGGTGCGGTGGGCACATGCGAACGCAACCGCCGGTGCCTTCGGTGGGATTCCCTGTAGGGCCACGAAGAATGTGAGGGGTGTGCCGAAATGGGTGCGGTAGGCAATGCGAACGCAGCCACTGGGGCTTTCGGTGGAGTTAACGATGGGGCCACGAAAACGTGTGAGGGGTGCGTCGGCATGGGTGCAGCGGGCGCATGCGAACGCAACCGCTGGGGCCTTCGGTGGAGCTCCCCATGGGGCCACGAAGAAACGTGTGAGGGGTGTGCCAACATGGGTGCGGTGGGCGCGTGCGAACGCAGCCATTGAGGCCTTCGGTTGAGCTCCCTATGGGGCAACAATGCTTGTTTGGGGTGTGCCGAAATGGGCGCGGTGGGCGCAAGCGAGCGCTGCCACTGAGGCCTTCGTTGGAACTCCCTATGAGACCACGAAGCGTGTGAGGGGTGTGTCGAAATGGGCGCCGTGGGCGCATGCGAACGCTACCGTTCGGGCCTTCGGTGGGGCTTCTTATGGAGCCATGGAACTTTGAAAGGTGTGCCGACATGGGTGCGGTGGGCGCGTGCGAATGCAGCCAGTGGGGCCTCCGGTGGAGCTCCTAATGTTGCCACGAAATGAATGCGGGGTGTGCCGACATATGTGCGGTGGGCACATGCGAACGCAGCCAATGGGGCCTTCGGTGGAGCACCTGATGTTGCCACGACATGAATGCGGGGTGTGCCAACATGGGTGCGGTCGGCGCATACGAACGCAACCACGGAACGATTGAAAGGTGTGCCGGAATGATTGCGGTGGGCGCATGGGCTCGCAACCAATGGGGCCTCCGGTGGAGCTCCCCAGTGGGTTCACGAAGCGTATGAGGGGTGTGCCGACATGGATGACTGGTGCGTACGGCAGAGGCACACATGGAAGAAGGGGGGAAGCGGATGAGGAGTTCAGGAGACGCGGGGCGCTCTCCCTTCAAACCGAAGGCCTGACACCACAGGATGATTGGGAACAGTTCGCCAACGGACCCAACCATGTGGAAGTGTAACCCAGGTGTGCACATCGTGTCTGGCGGAGCTCCCTACGGGGCCACTAAACGTGTGTGTGTGGTGAGCCGAGATGGGTGGGGCGGACGCATGCGAACAACGCCACTGGGGCCTTCGGTGGCGTGCCTTCTGGGACCGCGAAGTGTGTGAGGGGTGTGCCGACATAAGCGGGGCGAGCGTATGCGAACACCGCCACTGGGGCTTTCGGTGGCGCTCCTTATGGAACCGCGTGACTTGTGTGTGTGTGTGTGGTGAGCCGGCATGGGTGGGGCGGGCGCATGCGAACACCGCCACTGGGGCCTGTGGTGGCGCTCCTTATTGGACCGCGAAACGTATGAGGGGGGTGCCGAAATAGGCGGGGCGAGCGCATGCGAACACCGCCGGTGGGGCCTTCGGTTGAGCTCCTTTTGAGATCACGACGCACGTGAGGGGTGTGGGCGCGTACAAACGCAACCACTGCGGCCTTCCGTGATGCACCATATGGGTCCACGAAGCGTGTATGCGTGTGGTAAGCCGACATGGGTGGGGCGGACGCATACGAACACCGCCACTGGGGCCTTCGGTGGCGCTCCTGATGGGACCGCGAAACGTATGAGGGATGTGCCGGAATAGGCGGGGCGGGCGCATGCGAAAGCAACCGCTGGGGCCTTCGGTTGAGTTCGTTGTGGGGTCACGACACGCGTGAGGGGTGTGCCGAAATCGGTGCGGTGGGCGCATGCGGACGCAACCATTAGGGCCTCGGTGTAGCTCCATATGGGGCCACGAAACGTGTGAGGGATGTGCCGGCATGAACGCGGCGGGCGCATGCGAGCGCAGCCACTAGGGGCCTTCGATGGGGCTCCCGATGGGGCCACGAAACGTGTGGTGGTATACTGAAACGGGTTCGGTGGGCGCATGCGAACGCAGCCACTGGGGCCTTCGGTGGAGCTTCCTGTGTTTCCACGACGTAAACGTGGGGTGTGCCGGTATGGGTGCTGTCGGCGCATGCGAACGCAGCCTCTGTGGCCTTCGTTGGAGCTCCCTTGTGGGGCCACGAAGCGTGTGAGGGGCGTGCCAAAGTGGGAGGGAAGAGGAGGGGGAGGAGGAGCAGGAGAGGGCAGCGGGATGGAAGGCACGCGGGGCGCTGTCTTTCCAAAACGAGAACCCAACACCATAGGATGGTTGGGAACACAAGCGAGTGCGGCCCGCGAGCTCGGCGCTGGGTCCTGGTAGAGCGCGACTATGTCCTTCTCCTTCGACTCGCGGACTGCCGCGATCTCCTGCAGAGGGTGAGAGGGAGGAGGGAGGGCAGGGGGGAGGAGACAAGGGGGGGGGGAACTGAGAATGAGGGAGGGGAAACGAACAGAAATAGCGGGAGGAGGAGGAGGAAAAATAACGGGGAGGAGGAGGAAGAGGAGGAGGAGAAGGAGAAGGAAGAAGAGGAGACAAACGGAAGGAGTGGGAGGAAGGGGGATCACAAAGGTACGGAAACCTAACGAATCGGCCACTCCCAGGAGTACCCCCGCCAAGAAAGAAATCGGGCGCGCGGCCTGCAGGACACGGGCTTGGTGCGACAACATAGCGGAATGCAATCCTGGGTTTGCCCCCCCCCCCAGCCCCGTCATTTTTTTTTTTTTTTTGTGTTTGTGTGTGTGTTTGTGTGTGGGGGCAATGAATTCGGGGAGAAAGAAATGACATTCTCTAGTTTTTGAGGCCCCTTCTGGGCCCTGCAGCAGAGCCCCTTAAGGGACCCTGAAGGGCCCCCCTTCTGAAACCCATGCAACCCCCCATTTATCGCCCCCCATGACGCGACGCCCAAGCCCCGCGCACCAAAGGTCACTCCGGCGAAGGGCCACTCTTACCACACCTCCGACGTCGAGACTTCTCTCACGCCGCGGTCGTCTGGTGATGGTCCCAGGGCCGAGCAAGGGCCCCGAGGGGCCAGGTAAGGCCCCCAATGACGCGAGGAGGTCTGGGCACGCGTAGTCGACAGTTGGGGGCTACTGAAGGTGCCCCTGGCCCATGATGTCCCTAATTAGCTTTCAGTGCGTTGGGGAGCCACTGGGGCCCTCTTGGCCTCGTGATGGGGTGCTCTAGAAGGCCGCGGGGGCCTCCTGGGATATTCTGGGGGGCGCCTTGGGCCAGGGACACCCTGGCAACACTTTTGGTTTGTTGCGGATCCGGCGAGCGTGCAGTGTGCAGGTCGGTCGAGCAGCTCAGGACCACTGCACGGCGAATGAAGCACCGCAGAAGGATGGAAAAGGGGAGGCTAAGCGAAGCCTCTGGCAACACCAGAGAGATGATGATGAGCGCGCCACAGAGGGGGGCGACTGGCCCCCTCCGAAAACGCTCGGCCGCAACCGAGCGACGAGGGGCCTGACTCCACCTGGGGAGCAGGACCCCCCGACCGTGTGGACGACGTCGGCGACCACTCACGCGCCGTCGGACTTATCCATGCCGGCGAGCGCCACCATGTGCATGGCAGGGGGGAGGGACGGCGGCCAGCTCGCGAAGCGGCTCGCCCCTGGTGAGGAACCTGCGGTGGGTGGAGACTCCCGTCCAGGGGCCACCGCAGGGCGGCGGGCGGCGCTCCCCCCCCGTTGGCTCGCCCCCCGGGGCAACAGGGGCCTCCTGCGAGAGGGGGGGGGGGGGAAGGGCGGCTCGCGCAGAGGGCCTGCGGCGGCAGGACAGGAGTCCGAGCTCCTCTTGCTCCTGCTCCCCCCACCCTCCTTCTGATTCGCTGCCCCCCCTCCTCCTCATCATCATCATCCTCCTCCCCCTCATCCCCCAACTCATCCTCCCCCTACTTATATGCACTGCTCCCCACCCCCATCCTCCTCCGCACTCCCCCTCCCCCCCGTGTGCAGCGCGCACTGAGGAGAACTGGGGGCGGGAGGAAGAGGAGGAGGAACGAGGCGAGAGGGAGGCAAGGAAGCGGGAAGAGAGAGGCATAAGGAGGGAGGACGAGAGGGAGCGAGGGAGGAGGAACGAGGACGGAGGAGGATGGAGGATGAGGAGGAGGGAGGAAGGGAATCGAGGGCGACGGCGACTCTCTGGCGGACGCCTGCACCAGGCTGACGAGCGACTCGAAGCTGGTGAGCGACACCTCCGAAGTGTGGTCCAGGTTGCGCGACTGCGCGCCGTCCGCGCCCGCCTGGACCTGCAGGGGGAGGCAAAGACGACGATGACGACGACGACTCAACTCAAATCAGCAACTCTCATTCGGAGCAATGTCCGATTTTCTCTTCGCCTCATACAAAAAGACATGCTTCGACGCTGAGTCGAAGACTAGAAACTTCAGTCAAGCGGGACGAGCTCTGAGTACCTGCTCACAGGGATTACTGGCTGCAGCGCGCGGGAGTGGGCGTCACTCTCTGGCTGTCTACAGCGCCCAGGTTAGCGGTGTGGCCTCTGGGACCATCAAGCACTCCCCTAGGACCAGAACCAGGGCCTCTAAGAAACAACATTCTGACGACACGCTATCGCTGACTGGAAGACAAATCATATCGAAAGATGTTTTGCTAATTAGCCTGGCGAAAGGCCTAACCATACGCAGATGTGAGTCCCTATTGGGTCCAGAAAAGTGTGAGGGGTGTGCCGAAACGGGTGCGGCGGGCGCATGCGAACGCAGCCACTGGGGCCTTCGGAGGAGCTCCCTATGGGGCCACGAAACGTGTGAGGGGTGTGCCGAAATAGGTGCGACGGGCGCACGCGGACGCAGCCACTGGTGCCTTCGGTGGAACTACCTGTGGGGCCACGAAGCTGGTGAGGGGTGTGCCAAAATGGGCGCGACGGGCGCAAGCGAACGCAGCCACTGGGGCCCTCGGTGGAACTCCCTGTGGGGCCACGAAGCGTGTGAGGGGTGTGCCGAAATGGGCGCGACGGGCGCATGCGAACGCAGCCACTGGGGCCTTCAATGGAGCTCCCTATGGGGCCACGAAACGGGTGAGGGATGTGCCGAAACGGGTGTGGCGGGCGCATGCGAACGCAGCCACTGGGGCCATGGGTGGAGCTCCCTACGGGGCCACGACACGTGTGAGGGATGTGCCGAAAAGAATGCGACGGGCGCACGCGGACGCAGCCACTGGGGCCTTCGGTGGAACTCCATATGTGGCCCCGCAACGTGTGAGGGGTGTGCCGAAACTTGTGCGGCGGGCGCATGCGAACGCAGCCACTGGGGCTTCGGTGGAGCTCCCTATGGGGCCACGAAGCGTGTGAGGGTGGTGTGCCGAAACGGATGTGGCGGGCACATGCGAACGCAGCCACTGGGGCCATCGGTGGAGCTCCCTACGGGGCCACGAAACAAGGAAGGTGTGTGTCAAAATGGGTGCGGCGGGCGCATGCGAACGCAGTCACTGGGGCCTTCGGTGGAGCTTCCTTATGGGGCCACGAAGCGTGAGCGGAGTGTGCCGAAAAAAGTGCGGCGGGCGCATGCGAACGCAGCCACTGAGGCCTTCGGTGGAGCTCCCTATGGGGCCACGAAACGTGTGAGGGATGGGCTGAAATGAGTGGCGATGCTGGTGACGATAATGGAGGAGAAGGAGGAGGAGGAGAAGGAGGGGGAGGAGGAGTGAGAACGCGGGGCGCTCTCTTCAAAACGAGGACCCACCACCACAGGATGCTTGGGAAAAAGTTCATCTTCTGGTTCCACCCCCCTTCCCACGTCCAGACTGACCACTCCCCCCTTACGACGACGACGACGACGATGACGACAGGGACGAGGACAGGGGGCGCCGCTCCTTAAGATGAAACCAGGACAAAGACAACATCGGACCAACACATATCGGGGATCTCTGAGATCCGGCAGATGTATCGGGCGCCGCGGCCTTCTCAAAGCATTCGGGGACGCTCTGAGAGCATTCCGGAACTCTCTGGAACGGATCTATCCTCGTTCTAGCCCCGCCCGACTCCTGCTCATCATCTTCGAGGGGAAACGTCTTGGGATGGATCAGCTCAGGGAGGGGAACACTGACCTCGAATCGGTGGTTTATCGCCGATAGATCGGCGATATGCCCCCGACAACGAATCCATACGTTTCTGGGCGGGAGGGCAATCGGGCCGCTGTCAGCGATAGATGATTTGTGGTCGATGCATCCCCCCTTCGCCTGTTCCCCCTGACGTTGTGGCTGATCATCATCTTCCTCCTTCTCGTCAGACCTCCTTTCGTCTTGAACAGGTACAACCACAGCAATATGACACTGTCCTTCTATAACTTCCAGTGCCGCTCGTTACACCGAGGGGGAGAGGGTCGGGGCCCCAGGTAACGGTTATGCGTGGGCGGGGTGGTGCACGTCGGGACGGGGGTGCGCTGCGATCGCCATAGTGTACGCCTGGCCCGAGTACCAACATGGTCCAGGCCCCAAGCCCTACGCACGATCGTTACCGTGACGGGGGGGGGAAGAGCTTTGGCCCAGGCAACGTCGGCTACACGCAAGAGAGACCACAGCAAGAGTCAAACCTGGGTCTGTCAGGCCTTGCAAAATCCTGCAAGATCCTGCACGCAAGGCCGGGTCAGTGCACCCCTGGCTCTGCAGGATCCTGCAAGAGCCGGCGCTCTGGCTGACCCGCGTTTGCATTGACACCCGTCCCTTGAGCCCGCACCACTGTGCCCGCACCAACGGCACTCTGGCGAAAGGTCACCCTTACGTGTAGCGGATAACGACAGTGACGCGCCAGAGAATAAGACAAGACTATCTATCTTGGTGTGCCCGTCTTCGGCCTCCTGGGGAATAGAGGCCCCAAGAAGGCCCCAAGAGGCCCCTAAGCTGCCCCCAGGAGGCCCCAGAGAGCGCTCCGAAAAGACCCCAGGGAGCATCCCTGAGAACTCTAATCCACAACCCAGGCACTGTGGCGGGATGCGCCGAAAGCCACTAGATATCCAAATGCTGGCTCGTGGGCCAAACACAGCAGGGGGCGAGTTCTGTGTTCCGTTGAAACAGGGAGCTGTCTACAAAGAGCCAGTGAAGTATGTTCAGACACACAAGCACGTCATCCACGCGTGTATCTACCTTCACTTGCCCGAAGGCGGCCACTAAACTTATACGTGGCCCCCCGCAGTCGCGGGTAAGAGTGAGGGGGCGGCGGGAACGTCGGCAGTCTGCGAAGCTCTGAAGAGGCCCTCTGCAGGCGCCTCATTTCAACAAGTTATACAGCGAGCCTGCCGCAAGCGCCGATTCTTCGTTAAAGCAATGTGGGTGGGTCGCGGGGTAAGTTGCGGGTGGGTCGCTGGTGGTTCGCGGACTGGGCCAAGGGTGGGTCGCAGGTGGGTCGCGGGTGGGTCGAGGGCGGGTCGCGGGATGGGCCGCAGGTGGGCCGGGGGTGGGACGCGGGAGAGGTCGCGGGTGGGTCGCGGGTGGGTCGCGGGTGGGTCGCGGGGTGGGTCGTGGGTGGGTCGCGAGCCGGGCCGCGGGGGGGACGACGCAAAAGAAAAACATCAACAACAACAGCAGCAACAACAACAACAACAGCAATAACAACAACAAGAACAGGAACAACAGCAACAGCAACAGCAACACCAACACCCACAACAACAGCACCAACAGCACCAACAGCACCAACAACAACACCAACAACACCAACAGCACCAACAACAACAACAACAACAACAGCAACAACAACACCCACACCACCACCAACATCAAAACCAAAACAACACCAACAACAACAATAACAACAGCAACAGCACCAACAACTATCATTTGAAGACTGTTCGCTCTTATCTGCTCGAGTGTGATTCAACGTGTATTTCCCAAACCTTCGATACCCGCCCTCTTCGTCTTCGATCGTGCCCCTTTTGGGGGGTATATCTTTCTTCCCTGCAGGCCAGGCCCTGGCAAACGGCAAGGCAGCCGCGGACCGTCGGCCTGGCCAACGGCAGCGCTGATCGGAAGCAACCCGACCCCAAGAGGGACGGACAGGGGACCGAACGACGACGACGACGACGACGACGACGACGACGGCGGCGGCGGCGGCGGCGGCGACGACGAATATGACGACGAGCGAAAACGAGAGGGACAGCGGGGCCACGACGGGCAAGAAATGGGCCACGAAGGGCGACAGCAGGGCCAAGAAGGGCATGCGTGTGGGGCCACGAAGGGCGCGAACGAACGGGGGACACGAAGGGCAGATCATGCGGGCCACAGAGATGCAACGACGGGGCCACTGGGGGTAGCACCTGGGCCACGAAGGGCAACGAGAAACCACGAAGGGCGACGGCGGGGCCCCGAAACGCATGCGTATGGGGCCACGACGGGTGCGAACGAGCGGGGGTGGGCATACATATACGGGGCCACAACAGGCAGCGAGGGGGCCACGAATGGCGACATGGCGGCCACGAGGCGCATTCGTAAGGGGCCGCGACGGGCGCGAACGAGCGGGGACCACGAAGTGCATACGGCATACATATACGGGGCCACGAAGGGCAGCGAGTGGGCCACGAAGGGCTGCAACGGGGCCACCAAGGGCAGCGATGGGGCCAAAAAGGGCTGCAACGGGGCCACGAGGAGCAGCGAGGGGGCCACGAAGGGCTGCAACGGGGCCACGACGGGCAGCGATGGGGCGACGAAGGGTTGCAACGGGTCCACGAAGGGCAGTGAGGGGGCCACGAAGGGCTGCGAGGGGGCCACGAAGGGCTGAAACGGGGCCACGATGGGCAGCAGCGAGGGGTCCACGAAGGGGTCCAATGGGGCCTCGAAAGGCACCGACGGGGCCACGAAGGGCTGCAACGGGGCCACGAAAGGGGCTGCAACGGAGCCACGAACGGCAACGAAGGGGCCACGAAGGGCTGCAACGGGGTCACGACGGGCAGCGATATCCCGATTCCTAAATAAACTAGCTGTGAGGGAGTCCTAAGCGTGAGCGCGACTCCTGGGTACCTGAGTGTCGGGAGCGCGGCGCGTGAGTAAATTGCGGGGGATTCAAACGCAAGAGCGCGTTTCTTGACTACATTGCAAGCAAGTCTCCTGCGAGAGCGCGAGTCCAGAGCGCCGACAGAGCGATTCCCAAGTAAATAGTAAGGAAGTCCCAAGCGAAAGGGCGACTCCTGATTACAATGCGAACTCTCAGGCGGGAGAGAAGATCCGGGTTAAATTGTGACGAAGTCTCACGCGGGAGCCGTTGCTGTAACCCGGGGGGCAACGACACAATTTGAGTCCAGTGGATTTCCTTGTTAAAAACAGGGTGCGAGCCCCGGGGGAATCACTTCAATTGAAAGCACGCAGTGGTCACCGGAGGAAGGATCAACCATACTTATTCTTCAGTAGCGAATGTTCAACAACAGCAACAGCAGCAACATAAGCAACACCAGAAACAACAGCAACAACAACACCAACTACAACAACAATCATTATAAGACCGTTCGCTCTTACTTGCCCGCGTGTCACTCCAAACGAGTTTCCCACACCCTCGATACCCGCCCTTTGTCTTCGATCACACCCCCGTTGGGGGGATTTTCTCTTTGTGGGGGGCGGCGGGCTTAGACAGGCGGGCAAACCTGAACGGGCGGACAATCCTTCGTGGGCGTACATGATCCCGCCATTGGAAATGGTTTGGGCCCTGCAAAGAGAAGAGGGGGAGAACGAGGGGGAGTGGGAGGAAGGGAGGGGGAGGGATGAAGGAAGAGGGAAAACGCCAGGAGAGAAGGAGCGAAGAGGGGGCGGTTGATTAGAGGCAGAGAGAGAGGGATAGAGAGAGAGAGAGAGAGAATGACAGATGAGAGAGGTAGAGAAAGAGAAAGAAAGAGGGGGGGAGAGAGGAAGAGAGAGAGAGAGAGAAAGAAAGAGGGATAATGAGGCAGCGGAGGAGAGGGAGAAGGGAGGAGGGAGAGGAGGGAGAGGGGATAGGGCAGAGAGGCATACGTAAGGATGAGGGAAGAGAGGAGGGAGAGAGAAGGAAGGAGAGGAGGGAGGAGGGAGGAGGGAGAGGGAGGAGGAGCAGGAAGGTAAGAGGACGCCGTTATGAAGGTAAATGTTGCAGAGTGCCATGGGCCATATGGATGTTTCGAAATTTGGGGCACCGGGCGTGTCCCGAAGCAGACCTATGGATGACGTCTTGGCCCGATTCATCCGGCCTGGCCTTGCCTCCGGCACCGCCTTTACCTGAGCCTCATCCTCTTGCTCTCACCCGCTATCGCACTCCTCCTCCTCCGCTTCATCATCACCTTCCTCCTCTTGCTCCTCCTCCCTGTAATCCTTCCGCACCATCGGTGGCGCAGAGGAAGTAGTAGAAGCCGGAGAAATAGCCGTGCTCCCTTGTCTCCCCCCTCTTCAAACCTCGAACGAAACGATGTGTTCGAGTCGCTGGCGGCCCCTGGAGCTCTCTAATACAAATACGCGCCCAACCACGTATATGAACAGGGCCCCCAATTCGCGAGACCGGTCGCGTGATACGAACGTTCGCGCAATGCGTGCTCTCGAAACCTGTCCTGGGCGGCGTTCCGACAAGAATGCTGACACGGATGTAGCGACGACGACACTTCGGGAGGCGCAGGGAGACTCAAACACATCCACAACCTTTTATCCCCAATCCTCCTCCCCCTCCTCCTCCTCCTCCTGCTCCTCCTGCTTATCCTGCATCTCTCCATACCTCCGACGGCGTGTTTTTGCCACACCATGGACACCCTGATGTCTGGGCCGTCTTCCCTGAGACATTTGATTCCATCCTGGGTCGGGACGCGCTAGTGCCCACAGATGCCGAAAAGCAACACAATGATCACGTCGTGTCTTGGGTTTTGCTTTGAGACGAAGTCACTTCCTCCTCCTCCTTCTCCTCCTCCTGCTGCTCCTCCTTGCTCCTCCTCCTCTTCCTCCTCCTCCTTGCTCCTCCTCCCCCTTCTCCTCGCTCCCTCCCTGCGCCCTGCTGTCGGTGGGGAAGGGGCTGGGCCGTACCTTCCGGATCATTTTCCGCGACAGCTCGCCGCCCTCCATGTCGCTGAGCCTGCGAAGGGGGCGGGCAGCGGCCTGATCCGCCGGCCCGTCGTCGCCGGCCCCTCGAACTAGCGAGCCCCCTTCAGGCCCTTCCACCCCTGAGGGCAACGACAGGACGGGGGGGGATAGGCATAGGCTCGGGGGAATACATCGACATCGAATGGCCGACACCTCGCCCATGCATCGTCGATACATCGCCGATGCAGACCGCCCCTTGCATCATCTATGCATCGTCGATACATCAGCCTGGTATCAGCAATGTATCGTCGATGCATGAATCATTCGATGTCGACGCATCCCCCCTTTGCCAAATCCCCCTATCGTTGCCCCCGAATTCGAATCCTGGACCGGCTTCGGCGTGTCATCACGGGTCGTTCCTGGGGATACCAGAAGATACCGATGCCGCAACTCCCCGCAACTCTCCCGGGGTGCGTTCTGACTGGAAATTCGAAGCGAATCCAGCGGTGACGGCGAGGGCCTCCCAGGAGGCCCAAAAAGAGGAAAACAAGGGAAGGGTAGCGGTATGGTACCTTCTTCTCCTTTGAGTTTCTGGGGCCTGGAAATGGTACCCGAATGCTTCGACGGCAGCATGGCATCTGCACGCCAGCGCAGTGCCTTGCCAGGGCCGTCCTGGACCCCAGCTTGCCATCGCTCGGACGTCCATTCTCTTTGTCGGCTTGGCGGGGGTCTTTTTCGCACGATGATCCAGGATGCTCCTCGATGGCCCTCGCCGAGAAGAAATGCATGCACTTGTCCGTGCGATGCCAAGCCAGGATGGTGTGCAGACCCTCCCAGCCTCGGCGAGGAGGGCGTGTGCACCGTGCCAGGGGCCCAGGATGGCCCTGGCCAGGCGCGGTGGTGATCGTGTATCGATGCCCTCTGCGGAGAGAGCTGCGACAAGAACTCCAGCGCGTCTGTCCAGTACAGCCAGGCTGCCTCGTAAACGCCCAGAAGGGAAGATACGGGAGGAGGAAAAGGAGGAGGAGGAGGAAGAGGAGGAAGGAGAATGAGGAACAGAGTTCGACGAACCCTCAGGCCGTCAGGAACCAGGAACAGCAGCAGCAACAGCAGGAGAAGAGGAACGGACATGAAGAGGGGGAGGGGTGTCGGCTGCGTTTCGACTACTTCTCCCGCGGTGCCGCGCATGCGGCCACCAAGCAGAAGACGGGGGAGAAGGAGGAGGAGGAGGAGGAGGCGGAGGGGGGGGAGGACGAATAGCAGCAGGAGGAGGAACAGGAGGAGGGGAATCGGGAGAAGGAGGGAGGGGGGGAAGGAGGGGGGCAGGAGGACGAGGAACATGGGCGCTGCCCAAACGCCCACCCGTGACTGCAATCTGGCTCTCGGACCACGCAGTGCTCGGACCTCTGGCGATCGTTCGAGGAACGATCCAGCTACCCTCGGAACGCTCTCGGCGAGGCGCAGCTGATGGAGAACATCCAAGAGACTGGGAAAACCTGAGGGAACCGTCGAACACGTGCGAAAACTTCAGGCCCCCTCGCCCTCCCACGACCTCCAGCGCCCGTCTTCTCGTGGCGACGGAGGTCAGCGCCTCGACGACGACGGAGGCGACGACGGTCGCCCCGCGCCCCCCCCTCCTTCTGCTGCTCCCCCCCTCCTTGCACCGCGCAGGCCGAAGTTTTGGGGCTCTCGAGGCCCTTTGTTGGGCCTCCCGCCGTCGCCGTCGTCCACATCGGCCATTCTTCCCCTTCGAGCTCCTGTATTGGGCCTCCTGCCGGCGCCGCCGCCGTGACCGTCGCCGTGACCGTCGCCGCCGCCGCCGCCGCCGTCGCCGTCGTCGTCGGCGTCGCCGTCCCCGTCACCGCTCTCGTCGTCGCCGTCGGGCGGCGGCGACTGTGGATGAGCCAGCGTGCGTGCTGCAGAGCGCAGATGCAGAGCTTCGTCCGCAGGTTGAGCTCCTCTCTCTTCCCCTCTCCGTTGTTGTTACTCTCTCTCTATCTCTCTCTCTCTCTGTCTCCCGAGCTCCTGTTGGCGGTCTTCTGAAGGCTCACTTGAAGTGTCTTGGGGCTGATCAGGCCGTATTGAGGCTTCTTGAGGACGTCTTGAGGCAATTGTTTGGCTATCGTGGGGAGCTCTGCGCGCCGTCCTGATGCCCCTGCCGCAGTCTCGAGTCTGGGGTCTTGAATCAACTCGGAGCAGCAAACGGCCTCTCGGAGCATCCCAAACCGGCCCCAGGCCCTCGGGGGTGATGAGGCCAATCAATGGAGGTGGTTATAAAAAATGTGTTGCCTTCGGGCAAAGGGGCCCAAACGCCAGATGTAGATAGAGGAAATGCAAAGGCGGGTAACTCTGAAGGTAAATTGACCACCCTGTGTATGAGCGAAGCCGACACTGCTGTCCCCAGGGAAGGCCGAGCGTAACTGGCTGCTGGACAAGAGTGGGTCCAGGCGAATGCAGGGCGACCTGGAGGCGACGACACAAACGCACGGGGCAAACAGTGCGTTGCCAACTCCAGGGAGACGGAGACGGAGACGCCAGAGTCGTGCGCGCTCCTCTGGGGAGCCCGCCCTTGCCCATTAGGGCATGGCATGGAGGCCGTGGCCTTCAAAAATGTGATTCGCAGGCGGGCCCACATGATAACCACCACTCAGAGTTCCCGGCCGCCGAGGACCACCGCAAGTCGTTCGTGTTGTTTTGATATTGTCGTGGATGGGTCGCGGCTGCGAGTTGGTCCTGCCCGGCGTCGGCGTTGCCAACTCCAGGGAGGGGGCAGAATAGGTGGCCGAGCCATCTGACGCTGCGCTGGGCAGGCAGCGGTGGCGCCCACCAGGAGGCCAGGCACGCACCCGTCCCCTACGACCTCCGATGGCACCGCAATGCAAACATGCGGCGTGTGTTGTGATCGAGCTGGCTGGGCCTCGCGTAGTGGGGCGGCGATGAGTGGGGGGGGAGAAAGGTCCCTTGTGGCCTCAAGGGCCCCTTTGGGGGCCCTAGATTGCCCCTTTTCTGCAACCCTCGCAGCCCCCCCATTCATCGCCCCTCCATTGCGCGACGCCTAAGCTGGGAGACCTCCTGCCCCGTGTCCGAGCCATCCGCGCCATACCCGAGGCCACCCGAGGCTATCCGAGTCCATTCTGGGACTATCCTGAGCCGTTCCGCGGCCATCCGATGCCATTCCGAGGCTACGAGGCCATGTGCAGCAAGAGTTGGGGCACAGAAAGTCCCCCGCAGATTCTACGTGACGTGCGAGTGGTGCGGGTCGCGCTGATAATATGGCTAATGGCGTGGCAGCGACACGGTAATATTGGTAACGAAGACCAAGTCGGGGAATGCCTCAGCAATCGCGGCCGCGGGCGAGCTCAGGAAAGAGGACTCGCACACATACAGACACACACACAGACACACACACACATAAACACAAACACACTCACACGCACAGACAACACAAACACACAGACACAGACACAGACACACACACTGAGACACACACACACACACAGACACACGCACACACACGCACACACACACACACACGCACACTCGCAAACAAAGCTTCGGCCGCGCACAGCATCGCTCTCGGCCCGGCGGAAGAGCTCCAAACAGACGCTGCGGTAGGTGCCCGGCTGGTTGATCTGACCGCCGCCGCGCCCCTCCTGAAGGGCGGGATAATGCATAATGCCAGATGCGGCCGCCCATGTAGCAATCGCTGTCAACTCATATCGCTCCCACTGCAACGGCTGCTACAGCGGATGCTACTGCGATTGCTTCTATGCTGGCAGACAGCGTGCCTAAGACGTGGTACTGCGAGACGACGTGTCACATATGCATGCCCTCTTAGAGGACTGCCCCACAGTGGCCTAGAATGTTGCTCGCACTATATCGCGTTGCATTACCATGAGTGCTAGCACTGTCACGCCTGCAGGGACTACTACGCTACTACGACCATTGCTGAACATTCTGCACCCCACAGACAAGTGGACAAACGAATGCGAACTGCCGCAACCCAACCAACACATCGCCATCTGATATCAGCACCAGTGCGACGTTTACAAGTGACATGCATTACAGCGGCGACCACAAGTACGTGCTTGCACGCGGATCACAACCACTAGTGAATCCGCCCGTGCCGCGGGGCACTAAGCGGATTTTCGAAGATTCCCCAAGACTGTTCACGAGGCCCCCGGGAGGGCCCAAGACCACCACAAGACGGCCCAATACTGTTTCAAGACGGCCGAAGTCCCCCAATGCGCTCCAGAGGACTCCGAGGGAGCCTCCAAAAGAGGACAGCCCAAGAGAGCCCCAAGACGGCCCAGGAGGCACCTAACACGAACGAGGCACCCAAGATGGGCTGAAGAGGGGGGGGACATGATCTGACAGTTCGAGCCTTCCACCCCAAGATGGCCCCAATATCTCCCCAAGAGGCCCCCGAGGCGACCACAAGAGGCCTACAGGCGGCACCCAAGAGCCTCCCAAGAGGCCCAGACCCCTGACAGCCTTCCAAGAGACCCCCAGGAGGCATCCTAAGAGACCCACATCTGATTCAAGAGGCCGCTGACCCGCAACCCAAGGTGGCAGCACTGGCCGAAGGCCACAAGATATTCATGGCGAGGCGACGACACTCACAACATGCGCACAACGATACTTTGTGCAAGTGATGAAGCCACTCCCTTAGCATGTCCTTGAGATCCTTGCCCTGCAGGGTCCATTTCATGGCCTCGAGATGGCAGACGGTTGACATGGGGCAAACGAAAAATGAAAGTCACAGGAAGGGAGACACAGAAATTCGCCGGCCCCCTTCTGGGGCGACCAGGCTGTAGGACCAGGGTTTGCTGTTCCCTGCACCTGCTGTTCCACTGTTACAGTTCTGCTTTATGCTGCTTATTTACGCTGCTTACTGTTCCTTGTTGTGGACCGCGCGAGGGAGGGGAGCCGAAAAGCACCCTGGATAGCACCTCCTGGGAGGGTTATCAGAATTTCTGGGGGGGTCGACATGAACACCCCTCACGCAGATCGGCGGGGTCAGGGACCAAAAACACATGGGACTTTCCACATTTCTGAAATTCGGTGGCACCCCTCACGCAGATCGGCGGGGTCAGGGTCGAACACCATATGGGATTTGCCATATTTCTGAAATTTGGCGGCACCCCTCACGCAGATCGCCAGGGTCAGAGTCGAAACACACACATGGGATTTGCCACATTTCTATAATTCGGTGGCACCCCTCACGCAGATCGCAGGGGTCAGGGTCGAAAAACCAATTGGATTAGCCACATTTCTAAAATTCGGTTGCACCCGCCACGCAGATCGCCGGCGTCAGGGTCGAAAGACACATGGGATTTGCCATATTTCTGAAATTTGGCGGCACCCCTCACGCAAATCGCCGGGGTCAGGGTCAGGGTCCCAAAACACAAGGTCTTTGCCACATTTCTGAAATTCGGTAGCACTCCTCATGCAGATTGGCGGGGTCAGGGTCCAAAAACACATGGATTTGCCACATGTCTCGAAATTCGGTGGCACCCCTCACGCAGATCGGTGGGGTCAGGGTCAAACAACAAATGGGATTTGCAACATTTCAATACTTCGTGGAAAAGTTTTTTGCACAGCATGCGCGAGCAAGCTCGAAATGCAACACCGAATTCAACAATATCATCAGGATCTCAATTTGTCTTGCCGATTACTCATCGTCTTCGCGTGAAGTCCCGACGCTGCTTCACGGCGGCGGCAAGGCCTCATGATTTCGCAATTGCATTGCCCATTATCCGAGGGCGGGGGCCGGCGGCAAGGGGCGAAGCCCTTACGGATAAAACGCACATGGGTACCACGAGAGAGGGGAAGCGAGGTTGGGAGTGCAGAAGACGGAAGAGTGGAGAGGCAATATGGGAACAAAGGGGACACCGGGGCGAAGAGAGAAGGGGCGAGGGGGGAAGAACACACAACGAAGGAACAGACAGATGAGTGGAAGTTCAAGTCCAAGCACATGCATGAACATACCCCTTCCACAAGTTCGCACTGAATTCCTTCTTGCTTCTGTCTGGCTCTCGCCATTGAGCCCACGTCCACGTCATGAACACTGGAACGCTCGCGCGCGTTCGAGGAAAACACGCCCACGCAAACCGCAAACCTCGCCGTAGTCAGCACCGTTGCCAGTTTCCGCGGCGCGAAACCCTCCCCGAGGGAATGGCGGCTACGCCGACGTGTGCTTCCATCCCAGAGGCTCGTGTGTCGCTCCCACCCTGTCTCTGGCAGCGCGGGGACGCCGCTCGCTCCAATGGCGCCGCGTCCCACGAAGCCGCTGGGGCTGTCGAAGATATGCTCGACGCAATGCCCTCCCGTGGTAAGACCACCCCACAATTCGGGAAGATGTGCTTACCGTGTCGCGGCGGCGGCCAAGGCGACACAGCATAGCCTTCGAGCGCCTAGCGTGTGGCTCCGCTCCGCGGGGCGGGGGACTGGGCGTGGCCTGGGAAATTCACGCTTGGGACACAGCGACGCGTCAATTTCGCCTCATAGCCGCGCACAGCTGGCCAGTGGATGCGGACTCGAAATCCCAAGCTGCCGCCCGCCGAAGGATGCCACGGGAGAGACGCGCGCCACGGGCCACAGAAGCGAACGTCGACGCCCGCCACACGCGAGGAAGCCGCGCGGGGGGCGCACGCCACAAGCCTTCATACAGGAGAGAGACCGACCTTCACTCCACATGAGGACGCACCAGTGGGGCATCAGGACACGGGCCACCGATAGGTTCCGCTTTCGCCCTACCTCAACCCCCCTCCGGAGGCCTTGGGGAAACAGCGAGATAGCCAATGGGCGCACCGCGAGGCCCATGTTTCTTTTCGCCGTCCTTTCGACGGCATAAAAAGAAGTCCCCGCATGTAGCAGAGAGAACAGTGGACCAGCAAGCGCTCCAAGATAGAAACACGTCAAGGACACAGACATTGATCACCACTGTCGGGACAAACGAAATCAATCAAGTTCTAAGCCGTACCATAACAAACAATGGGCGCAGCTGTGCAACGGGCCTGCAGATACAGAGTTGCGGTACGAAGGCTGACGACCAAAAGCGCTTTGGCATGGTTTGGGCATTCTGCGCAGACGAGAACGAAAGCACCCGCAGGCCCGGGAGAGATCAGCTGGAACCGCCCACATAGGGCTCGAGCAGATGGGGTAACAAAAAATCGTGCTGCATCGCCGATGCACCGGCTCTATGTGATTAGGGACGGAAGCAAGCGGACCCAGGGTCGAGCCGCACCATCGACGCATCGGCGATGCAGCGGGATCCTCCGACCCCTGTCTGCTCGGACCCCCACCTCAAACCACCGACGTCGTGGTTATTGTTCACAGACGTCGGCACCTAGGCGTCTCGACCACTCCCCAAGACTAACTTTTCATCCCGAATCGTCTTGTGACGCTCCCGGGGCCTGGCGAGGGCCCCCCGAGGCAGGAAATGGTAAACAACACATCCCGCCGTGATTTTTTCACGACGCGAAGGGGCTTTGGCCTGGACGACCTGGACCGACCTCACCCCCCCTACGAGAACGGCGCCCATCTATGTTTGGACTCCTTTCGGGCTCCGCCTTAACGCAGTACGGTGCGTAGCTCCGGCGGGCCGAAAAACTATTACCTTTCCTGGGCCGAGAATTGACGACGCCTCGGAAGACGCCGACGCGGTCCAGTGCACACAATGGAAGTTTGAAGGCCCCACCAGGAGCCCTCTGGGCGCTTCTGCGCCCTCAGAGCTGCCCTGCGTCTGCGCGCGCTGCCGCGCGCGGCCCGTCGGCCATTTGGCGCGGCACACCAGCAGAATGGCGGCACAACCGCGCTCAAAAGAAATGAACGCACGAGCGCGTTGAGTAAAAATCTCGTCACCAAACGCAGCATAAAGAACACGGACACCAGCGTGGATCCACATCGCGAACTTGCGAGAACCGCGCAAAACACCGCGCCGATTGGCGCGACTGGCCATCGACTAAGCCATGACCGCAAATTGCAAATGACCGCACTTGCGCAGAAAAATGGGTGCGAGCAGCGACCGGTCTTTCCGAAAGCGTGGCTGCGACAAGCAACGCAACTAACATCTCCAACAAAAACGAGCCGAAACGACCGAACGAATCTAGCCCCGAATGGCCGCTAGAACCGCAACGGCCAGCAACGTGCCGATGCACAACGCGCTGGCAACGAACGCTAGGGAGAGACCAAAAACACTCACGCGCAAACAATTGAAGAGAACTACAAGCGCGCAATTGTGCAGAGAAGCACTCGCGCACACGCGGTTTCCTTTTCCGCAGTCCGTCCGCGCCCGATGGGTTTGTCTGAGCCGAGACGCCTTGAACCAACATGGCGACGCACGATGAAGATGGGGAGGTAGCGAGACGAATAACCATGAGTGATAAGGAAGAGGTTGGGGAAACCGACGGGAAGTAACAGGGCGATGGGGAGGACAATAAAATGGGGAGGACATGCGGAAGGAGAGGAGGAGGACGACGACGACGACGAAAAGGGCGGGGAGGAAGTGGACGGGAATGGCGAGGATAATCAGGAAGCAGGGGGGAGGAGGGAAGGGAAACATGATCGGGGGCAAACAACACTCAATCACAGACCGAAAGGACGATGCCCCGTACATTCCCGTACACATGCCGATTTGCTACTGCTGGGTGGCGACATGCCACTGAAGTGCCGACATCTCTATGCAACATACCGTACTGCCGCTCCCAACCCGCCTCCTGCCTGTGTGGTATCGTCTGGAAAAACGTTGTCCCAAGATTGTGACCAAACTTCGCCTCCCAAACAATCTTGTGGGCGCGCGAGCGCGGATGCGGCCACGCAGCGTGTGAGGCCCCTGGGGGAAAAACTTCCCTGGGAGCGTGGCCGATGCACGCCGTTCTTATGGGGGGCCAACTCGGACGTAAAGCGAGTCCATGGACTCCAGCGCGCTGACTTCACAAGGCTGCCCGAACTCGCGGTCACCCGTCCACGAAAAATCTGCCAACACACAACGCTACACGTGTGCCAGCTTGGACCACAAACTGTGGATTCTCGTATAGTGCATGCGTAACCAATGTGGAGCAAGCTATGTGGTGGACGCTAACGCTAACTATCTCCAGCGAAGAGCTTTGGTGCCATATGAGGGCCCCAAAGCCTCCAAACGGGCCATCTACAATACCATACCAAAGCTCTCAATACGATATCGTTGGCGGTCCTTTTGGGCCCCTCCTGGGAGCCCCTTTCGGACGCTCTTGGACCTTGCCTGCGGTCCTCCTGTGCTGCCTTTGGGGTCCGAAGAGGGCCAGGGAAGGGCCCAAGAGGGCCTCAAGAGGGCCCCCACGTGGGCCCCCAACGATATACAAGGACCACCTGTTGGTATGATATCGTTGGGGCCATGTTGGGCCCCTCATGGGTGCTCGTACGGACCCCTCATGGAGCTCTCTCGGGAAGGTTTGGGGAAGGCCCTAGGAAAGCGTAAAAGGCCCCCAAACAGGGCCCCAACGATACCATACCAGGACTTTTGGTATGATGCCGTTGGCAATCTGTTTTGCCCCCTCTTGGGAACACTTTTCGGCCCCTATTGGGGCTCTCTTGGGGCTGTCCGAGGCCCTCGCGGACCATCGTTTGGGCCAGAGGAGGGGCCGGCGGCGAAGACAAGGGCAAAAACATATGTGGTAGGATTTAGTACGTGTTCCCGTGGCGCTGCGGCCATATTGGGCTGTCTTGGGGCTT